TAGTTTCATTTGGTGACCTCTAGTTCTTATATTATGGGAACAAGTAAATATTTTTTCCTTATTCACTTTCTCCACATCACTCATTTTATATACCTCTATCATTTCATCCCCCCTTAGTCTCCTCTTTTCCAAGCTGAAAAGTCCCAGTCTCTTTAATCTCTCCTCATACGAGACCCGTTCCAAACCCCTAATCATTTTAGTTGCCCTTCTCTGAACCTTTTCTAATGCCAATATGTCTTTTTGAGAGGAGACCACATCTGTATGCAGTATTCCAGATGTGGGCGTACCATGGATTTATACAAGGGCAATAAGATATTATCCGACTTATTCTCTATCCCTTTTTTAATGATTCCTAACATCCTGTTTGTTTTGACTGCCGCTGAACACTGCGTGGACATCTTCAGAGAACTATCCACAATGACTCCAAGATCTTTCCTGATTAGTTGTAGCTAAATAACACCCCCCTCATTATATGTATAGTTGGGGTTATTTTTCCCCCCTGTGTGCATTACTTTACTTTTCTCCACATTAGATTTCATTTGCCATTTTGTTGCCCAGTCACTTAGTTTGGTGAGATCTTTTTTAATTTATTCAGTCTGCTTTGGTCTTTACTATCTTGAGCCGATTAGTATCATCTGAAAACTTTGCCACCTCACTGTTTACCCCTTTCTCCAGATCATTTATGAAGAAGTTGAATAGGATTGGTCCTAGGACTCATCCTTGGGGAACACCACTAGTTACTCCTCCCCGTTCTGAAAATTTACTATTTATTCCTACCCTTTGTTCCCTGTTTTTTAACCAGTTCTCAGTCCATGAAAGGATCTTCCCTCTTATCCCATAACTTAATTTACGTAAGAGCCTTTCATGAGGGACCTTGTCAAAGGCTTTCTGGAAATCTAAGTACACTATATCTACCGGATCCCCCTTGTCCACATGTTTGTTGACCCCTTCAAAGAACTCTAATAGATTAAAAAGACAATTTCCCTTTACAGAAACCATGCTGACTTTTGCCCAACAAATCATGTTCTTCTATGTGTCTGAATTTTATTCTTTACTACTGTTTCTACTAATTTGCCTGGTACTGATGTTAGACTTACTGGTCTCTAATTGCCAGGATCGCCTCTAGAGCCCTTTTTAATATTGGCGTTACATTAGCTATCTTCCAGTCACTGGGTACAGAACCTGATTTAGAGGATAGGCTACAAACCATAGTTAATAGTTCCGCAGTTTCACATGGGAGTTGGGTGAATGCCATCTGGTCCCGGTGACTTGTTATTGTTAAGTTTATCAATTCCAAAACCTCCTCTAATGACACTTCCATCTATGACAATTCCTCAGATTTGTCACCTACAAAGGACGGGTCAGGTTTGGAAATCTCCGACATCCTCAGCTGTGAAGACTGAAGCGAAGAATTCATTTAGTTTCTCCGCAATGCCTTTATTGTCTTTAAGTTGTCTTACACCCTCCTTCATAGATGGGGCTTCCGTCAGGGCTGATCCCCACTCTGGCACTACGAGTGCAGAAGGTGGAGGCTCACAAGAGATCTAATTACACCTTGTCTCTAGCAGGGCTACTCAACTTTGGAAGCCCCAGAGGCCGCAGTGGTACTCTGAGCACATGCTGAGGGCTGCAAAAGTGTGGTTGTATATACATGCAAATATATGTGCAAATAATTGCAAATATTTTTTTCACAGACGGGAATGAATACAAAGATTAAGGCAAGACAACACAACACACAGGTCCCATTTAAATCAGTTCTGCTGATATTAATAAGATGCAATATTTACCCAATTTCCACCCATATTTTTATGTCCCATTTAAATCAGTTCTGCTGATATTAATAAGATGCAATATTTACCCAATTTCCACGCATATTTTTATGCAGTTTTAATTAGCAATGACAGTCCAGTAACTTAACTATTAAAACACATATCAACAGAAGACCATTATATTGACTTTTTTGCTTTGGCTCCCACCTGCAGGCCACATGTTGAGCCCTGCGTAAACCGACACTCCAACATAGGCCACAAACAAACGGGCCGCAGGCCACATGTGGCCTGCATGATGAATAGCCCTGCTCTATAGGCTTTGCTTATAAAAATTCCCCAGAGTCAGATTTACTGACTTTGGGGGGTAGCTGCCACCAGCAAGTGATTTACCCTAAAAAGGAGGAACACTTGAATTCCCTCCCCTCCCACAACCGGGGTATCCCAAGCTCTTGTTTTCAAGGTCTCGTGCAGCACAAAAAAAAAAAAAAGGAAAGACTGCAGTCTCTGGTAGCTGACCTCTTAGTCAGAGGCATGCAGATACATGTCTTATATGTTCCAGGACAAGAATCAAATCACCTGAAAAAGTTATTTTTATTACAAAACAAAACAAAAATTTGATAAAGCATATGTTACAGAGCAACTAAGTAAAACAAAACAGAAAATCTCTGGGAACAACTCTTAGATGGAAGCATAGGCTCACAGAGCAGTTCAAATCAAACCACAAAAATAAAGAAAAATACCCTGATCATGACTGGATAGACTTTTCCCCTTTATTCATGATCCCTTCCAGGTTCAGTCCACTTCCATGCCCTGAATTCCTTGGAGGCATGGTAGTCCTGCCTGGGTTTAAACCATTCTGTCAACTCCTGGTTTAACTCTCTCACCAAGAAAGCAGGCAAGGAATCTTACACAAGTCAAATTTCAGCACTCTATCCCATTGGTTCTTCTGGCTCCCTGCCAACACCCGTGCTAGCTACCTAAATTTAAATCCTTAGGCTGTGTCTAGACTGCAGGGTTTTTTCAAAAAAAGTAGCCTTTTCCCGAAAAAAACTTCACCTGCGTCTAGACTACAGCCACGTTTTCAAAATTAAATCAAAAGAACGCGGCTTTTCTTTCGATGGCGGTACTCCTCATTTCACTAGGAAGAATGCCTTTTTTCGAAAGTGCTCTTTCGAAAAAAGGCGTTCTTGAATGCAAACAGGGCTTTTTCGAAAGAGCATCCAGACTGCCCGGGTGCTCTCTTTTGAAAAAGCGGCTTGCTCTTTCGAAAGAGGCTTGCAGTCTAGACGTAGCCTTAGTCACAAGGTGCTGGAGAGCACTCTTCCTATCCATCACAGGATCTCTTCAGAAAATACAGGACTATGTAGCACTAGAATAACACGGCTACACAGGATTTCTTCAGACTTTCAGCCTAGACATTGAAGTTTACTTATGGTGTCTTGCAACTTTGTAGCCATTCCAGTAAATATGGAAAGTAGAAGAAACCATTGGAGATGCCTGTTCTAATTCCTAGATTTATTTCCCCTCCTCCCCCATGAAACAAATTGTTCCTGCAGACTAAAAACCAAGACATAACTGGCTTCCTCCATCTTTATTTTATACCCTAACATATCCACAAGTTTTTGTTTCTTAATCATCTACTGGCATCTTTTCAAAACTTATATTATATGCCTGGAAGGTATAAGTGTTCCCAAAGAGTGAATACACACAAGTAGAACTAGGTACAGGGGTATAATGATCATCTCAATCAAATTAGATTTCCAACTAGTTCTTTTCTTTGAAATGCAATAACTCAGCACTAAAAAGGGTTTATTAAGTACTGTATTCAAAAAAAAAATCTAAGATCACAAAATGCTTCCTTTAACACTCCGAATTACCATATTATGATCAAACTGGTTAGTTGAATCCAAGGCCTCAAACTGATTAGATTTGTAGACAGAAGTTTATATATATTAAGTGCTACAATGGGCAACTATTTCTGACAGGTACTATTTGTACTGTATGTGTACAGTGGCTAGCAGAGTGTCTCATATCCTGGATTGAGGCTTCTCATGCCACCTCAATAAAATAGATTTTTTTTCCTACTGCCAAAGTTCAAATGAGAAGTTAGAAATCATTTATTTTTGTAATCATGTAAGCACAACAATTCCTACCCATTACATGTTACTAAAACGCTCCCTCCCAGGGCAGGGCCAACAGTCAGTGCACTCTGAGTTCTTGGCCCCACTATTGGGAAGCCTCTGTATTAGAAGCAGCAGAGTAGAGTGGCAGGGAGGAGCCAGTCCACAAGAGGAGCCAGTTTAAAAAAAAAAATCTGTTCCCTGTGCAGACCAGCTCCCATCTTCCACCCCATGTCACTGCCTCCTTATAGCAGCAGTAGTATGGGACAGCAGCAGCCCATGGCCACAGGGGGCCCCAAGCTCCCCACAGAGGCTACTCCATGGGATGCTGGAGCAGCCTCTGTCCATGGGAGCTTGGGCCCCGTGGACAGGGATTGCTGCCGCCCCATGCTGCTGCCTCTGAGGCAGCAGCATGGAATGGCAGGTGGCTCCCCTGCATACTCTTCATTTAACGCTAGGACCAGCAGGCTGGGACTAGAGACAGCCTCCTGGTGAGTTTTAAATGTAGAACATGCAGGGGAAGGGAGGTTGTTGTGGTTAACTGGTTTGCCAACTAGCCATTAACATCCCTATTATAAACTGCTGTCATTACTATATTGGTCTGAAAAAGTTAGGTAAATGAAATAAACAATGCAAACTATTTTGCAAGTGTTTTATCCATCACTCCGTGACTCTGGAATAAAGGTTAAAATAGCTCTGCTACTATTTTTTGCATTTGTAAATATTCAGTAAAAGAAGCTGTCATTTCCCATGCCTTTTGCAAATTCAAAGACCAATTATATCACAATACTGTGCCAAGCTCTAATCACATCCTCAATCAGGAGTCAAACATTCAGGGACAGCCTCACACTTTGAAGAATGTATGTGATAACTAAGAGCTATTTACTGGCTGATCTGGGAAACCAGCAATAAGAGGACATTCGTTACTCACTTTGTGTAGCAATGACAGTTTGAGATGTGTCCCCTCCCCCCCATAGGTGCTCTACTCAGGTGTTGGTGTGCCCTCACGTGGGCAATCAGATTTTTAGCCTAGCAGTGCCTTCTCCCATTTCGCATGTACAGTTGCCATCTCATTAGCTGCGCACTCAACACTCTGTTCCTTTTCTACCAGAAATCCTTTAATGGACTCCATAGTAGAGAGGAGTAAGGGAGGGCAGTGAAGCACGTACAATGGACACATCGTGCTGTAACAATGGTTCTTCAAAAGGGGAGTAACTTCCTGTTCTCTTTCAGTGTGTCCCACCCCACCCCACCCCACCATAGGTGCTCCACTCAGGTGACTAAAAAGCAATTCCCACAATGTGGAGATGGGTCTTTGGAGTCATCTATAAGAAAAGGCCAGGACAGTGTCATGCACAGATGTGGTAGGTAATGGTCCTTGCTGTAAAGCATAGTGTTGTACAAAGGCATAGGATGAAGACCATGTAGCTGCTCTGCAGCAGTCAGCCAGGGATACAGTTTGTAGAAATGCAGTCAATTCAGCCATCATTCACGTGGAATGTGCAAGGACTGTCTGCAGTGAAGCTTTGTTTCAGAGCTGTAGCAGGTATTTATGCAGTTTGGTATCCACTTGGATAAGTATTGTGTGGAGACAGCTATTCCCTTGTGGAGATCAGACAGATATAAAGTGTCTACTGGATTTTCTAAAATGCTTAGTCCTGACTATGTCAAACGCAAGTGCCATCTTCCATAGAGGGTGAGTAATATTAATCACTTCTTGGGGAATCATGTGGTTTAGGGTAGTAAGTGGGTAGGTAAATGGGCTGAATGTGAAAACTAGAAATGACTTTTGGTAAAAATTCTAATGGGGTCTGAGAATGACCTCATCCTTGATGAGGAGCGTATAAGGTAGATTTGCCACGAGGGCTGTAATTACTCCTATTTGTTGCGTGGATGTGATTGTGATGAGAAAGGACACTGCTAATGGTTTGAAGGGAGTCTTGTTAGTCAGTCCAGTACAAGGCTGAGAGCCCATGGTAGAACAAATGGGCGTAAATGCGGATGTGTTTTGGATAGACCAGCTAAGACCCATTTGATGATCGGATGAGCACACACAGACGCTTACCAGTTCATGAAAGACCGAGATAGCTGAGTGGTAACTCTTATGGGGCTGATGGAGAGCCCTGCATCACTGAGGTCCATTAACTATTCCTGAACAGTTGGTACTGGGGAGGTATGTGCTTGTAGATGGCACTGATTGCACCATTCTTGAAACTGCTTCCATTTGTTTCAGTAGGTGTGCCTCAGAAGGACAACTACTACTGAAGAGGATGTGTTTTACTCAGAAGGCAACTATGCCATTGTGAAACCATGAAGAAGCCAGGTGGTGAGTTTCAGAGCCTGAGGATTCAGAGGACATGTTCGTCCATTGTGTTGAGTTAGGGATTAGGGATGATAGGGAGGGGAATGGGTTGGCAATAGACAGCTAATGGAGATAAGGAAACCAATGCTGTCTTGGCCAATGTGGATCTATCAGAATGACCTTGGCTCAGTCTGCTTGAAGAGGGGCCGTCTATGATATGGTGAAAGCATCTCCCATTGAATGTTTATCCTGCCCACTCTCAAGCAAAAGCAGTAACATTTGTGATTGATGATTGTTGCAAAAAAGGTCTATGACCAGAAAACCCCACTGTCGGAATATAGGCAGTATGGTTTTGAGACAGAGCTCCCACTTGTAGTCTACATCTACACTGCAGGCTTCTTGCGCAAGAAGCATTTTGCGGAAGAGATCTTCCACAAAAACTTCTTGCGCAAGAGTGCGTCCAGACTGCATAGATGCTCTCTTGAAAGAAAGCTGATTGCTATTCACAGAATAACCACAGAGCACCTGTGCTTTTTGCAATTGGCTCTTTTTGCACAAAAGCCCCATTGCCCGTCCCCACACACCTTTTTCCACACGAGTTCTTGAGCAAAAAGGAGTTGTTTCTTGTAGAAAGAAGAATATCTACACCGCAAAACCCCTCTACATTTACTTGCCCAAAAATGCGCTTGAGGTGTGGACGCTCCACAGATTTTTGCGCAAAAATGGCCGTTTTTGTGCAAAAACCCTGTAGTGTAGACTTAGCCTTATTTTTCAGTGTGCAAAAACCCTGTAGTGTAGACTTAAGCCTTATTTTTCAGAAAAAAAATCTGCTCAGTTTGTCTATCAGGTATTCTGTTGACTTGATATGTACATTGCTGTTGGCGTGATGTAGTTCTTCACGCACCAGTTCCAAAACTTGATTGCCTTGGCACATAGTAAGCATGATCAGGGAGCCTCCCTACCACCACCACCACCCATCTATTGATGTAATACATACATGGCGTGTTATCCATGAGGACATGATTTGTATGACCACAGATGAGTGTCAGGAAAAGACAATGGCCATTGCGGACCACCTTGAGTTCCAAAATATTGATGTGCAACCTTGCCCTCCTGGCACTATCATCTTCCCTGGACCATGTGACATGCGCAGTGGGCTCCCCAATCCAGAAGGGATGTGTCGGTCATTACCCATGAGGGGTCTGAGTGGTGGAAGAGCACTCCAGAAAGGAGGTTGTGTGGGCAAGTCTACCATTGCAGAGATGTCAACAACAACATTGTAGGTGTGACTCACGTGGCAAGACTGTTGGGGAGTGCACAATGTCACCCAAGCCTGTAGGCATCTCATGTGGAGACTCACAAGAGGTACCACGAAGGTAGTGGCTGCCATGTGGCCTATGGCTTGAAGACATATGCAATCAGTTGTCACCAGGATATGCAATATACTGTCTATTATGTCCCAAAGGGTCTGAAAGCAGGGTAACGGAAGCAAGGCTTTAGCCATCATAGAATCTAGCAATGCTCTGGTTAATTCTATTTTCTGGGTTGGATCCAGAGTATGTTTATTGGAAGACCCAGATGGCAGAAAATGTCTTCAGTAATGTCCTTCATGATTAGTGTCTGCTGTGAAGTACCTTTGATTAGGTAGTCATCTAGGTATGGGAATACGATAACGCCTTGCTTCCTGGGGAAGGCTGTCACCACAGCCAGAGTATTGGAAATTACATTTGTTGCTGTCAACAGCCCAAAGGGAAGGACACTGTATTGGCAGCGTGTAGTATTCATTGCCCACTGTAAAGCAGAGGAACCTCCTGTGGGCAGGGTATATTGTTATATAAAAGCATGCAACTTGGAGGTCGAAGGGCTGAGAACCAGTCCCCCTCACAGTGCACGAATGATGGTTCCTAAAGTCACTATCCTGAATTTGTGGTTGCAGACAAACTATTTGAGTCTCCTGAGATCTAAGATGGGTCTCCATCCCTCTGTCGTCTTGGAAGCAAGGAAATAGTTGGAATAGAAACCTCTTCCACCTGAATTTCACAGAACTCACTCTATGGTTCCCAGACTGAGTAGTTTTTGTGCCTCTGCCTGTAGAAGGGGCTTGATGAGAAGTGTCCCTGAAGAGGGACAGGGAGGGATGGTGGGTAGAGGGCACAGATGTAAAGGGGATCATATATCCAGTTCTTGTAATCTCTGGGACCCATTGTTCCATACTGATGAGAGCCTAATGATAGTAAAAGGGCCTCAACTGATGATGGAAAATATGGGTGGTGTGCACCGGCTATATAAGGTGGTCACTCAGGCTCTAGACCACACCTTCAAATCTGCTGTTCAGATGCCGCTGATTGAGCGGCGGACAACTGGCTGTGCTGGGCTTCTTCTACCAGGCCATTTTAGTCTGCTGTCAAATGCTCACTGCTGTTGTCTTTGGTAGGAGGTATCCCTTGATCTCTGCTAAGGAGTGTATCTCCTTCTCTTGTTGGGCAGTGTGTACATCCCCAGCATTCAGAGGGTCGTACGTGAATCTTTGAGTGAAGTACTTTGTCAGTTTTGGCCACAAAAAGCAGATTCCTGTCACATGGCAGGTCCTCTACTTTGGTTTGTAGTTCGTGAGGGACATCAGATTGCAGCCATGTGGTGCATGATTACTACAGCCACCATGTCCGCTACATCCATTGACACCTGGAGAGCCATTCAGGTGATGGATTGGCCCTTCATAATGCAATGTAGCTGTGGTGTCTCTTGCTCAGGGAGGTCATTTAACAACTTGTGCTACCTGGTATAATTGGCAAAGTCAATTAGTGACAAGAGCCATATAACTGAAAATTCTAAACTGGAGGGTAGCCAAATAATAGATGTTCCTTCCAAAAAGGTCTTTTATGCTGTTGGTCCTGAGGTGTTTATTTGAATTGTGGCTGTCTGGAATGATAGTGCACCAAACAAATAGGCTGGGGGTGGGAGAAAAAAAGAAATCTATCCCCTTAGCTAGGACAAAGTACTTTCTAGCGCTCCCCTGATTAGTCAGTGTAACAGAGGATGGTGACAGCTAAATAGCACTACCAATAGATGAGGCTGTTCTGGAACCAACTGAAGCTATCTGTTGCTTTTCTTGTACTTCCCACAGGGCTATGTCTTGTGATTGTGCTACCCTCTTAAACAGGTCCTGAATTTGCTTCAGGTCGTTAGCAGGGGGAGAGAAAGGAAACACAGCCTCATTGGGGACAAAGACAATTGTGAGAGTGGAGACTGACAATCTGACTGAGGTAGGTCATCATCTTCCTCCTCAGGACCGGTGTGGGTGGTGGCTGAAGGTGATGGTGGAGGACGGGTTGGAGAAGATTTAGTGGTCTGCAGAGAAGACCATGTCGTGCATGCTGGGGTGGCCACAGTTGGTTCCCACAATCAGTGCCAAAGTAATAGGTGAGTGGGATATTGTCCCCATGGTGGCCATTGAGGTTGATATTGTGGTGGATGAGGCCACAGGTGGATAAACCAAGGGTACTGCAGGGCATGGTACAGTAATCAGTGCCTGCTTGAATGCCAAGTGGCGGCAAAGCTGGTTGGTGATGAGTGCTGGGAGGAAAATCTACTCCCATGCCCAGTCCGGTAACAGGGAAGACTTATTAGGGGAGAACAAGATGTTCTCATAGGAGAGAGAGAGAGAGAGTGCAGGCTAGAACCTTCAAGCCAAGGAGAATTCGGAGATGTGTTCTGTCACGATTGTCGTGTCATTCAGCGCCGAGGTTCTGTTTTCTGCACTCTTGACTTTAGCTCTTGTGGTGCTGGAGCATGCCTCAGTGCCAGTGAACACTGAGAATCTGAAGACTGTGGTGCTGCCAGCATGTCTGTCAAGGCCAGTAAGGGTGGCATATCCACCTTTGTTGGTGCTGGTGCTGATGTGAAGAGGAAGTGGCCTTCCTCTTAGGTTCCAACCCAGAGCTTTTTGTAGGTGCTGTTTCCCACTTTTGCGCGCTGCCGGAGGGAGCGTGCAGCACAGGATATTGACAGCACAGCTAGTAAAGACCATGGCAGAACGATTTGGTACATACAGGAATCCTGTTTAGGCAATAAACTGGCCCTTTTCCTCAGACTTAAGAGGTTCCTAAGGTGTGGTTGTCTTTGCTTTTGTGGTGGTTGGAGGGATTTCTCCCATATCAAAGTTTTAAGCCTAATTTCCCAATCTCCACCGGCCCTGGAAGTCATACCCTGACTGTGATAGAAATGTAGCCGTGTTAGTCTGGGGTAGTTGAAGCAAAATGCAGGACAATGTAGCACTTTAAAGACTACCCTGACTGTGTGGGCATTTCTGACTGTGTGGGCATTTCTGCGCCACGTGGCCTTCGCCAAGGCACCAAATACATTAAGCATGCCCATTGAAGGTGGGCATTGAGTCTCTGCCCAAGTTTTGAGCCCAAGCGATCCTGGCATTTTGAAGAACTAGGGTGAGACAAATATAGAGTAAGGTAAAAGAATAGGGAGCAACAGTGTTGTTTTGTTAGGTTTAGTTTTTTCTTAAAAGCAGAATATCAAAAACTATCAACAAATTAGTTATTCTCTCTTTCTAGTGAGGAGAGCACTACTTAAAACTCCCATTTTCTTCCAAGGATGGCAGAAAAGGAACTGAGGGGACCCAGGTTATGCACACAGCTAACAGACGAAACAGCACAAAATGACAACTGTTCATGCGTGACTTGGGAAGGCCCTGCAAGGCTAAAAATCTGATTGCCGGCACAAGGATGCACTAACACTTGAGTGGAGCATACCCAGCGACACCACTCAAAGGAGAACTCTGACCAGTTTGTTTGGACTTGCAAATTTTAACCTGCCCTTATCCACATGTGCATTCTGAATCAAAACATAGCCATACGTATAGTAGATATACAGCCAGGTCTTACCAGAGTCACTAGTTCAGGGCTGATCTAGTGATTCCGAAATCAAGAAATAAGCATCTTATTCCAGGTTGTCTGTTCTCAGCTTTGAAGTAGATATAACAGCAGGCCTTTGACAAGAATCTTGTGGGATACTTACCACTATGTAGAAGTTCTGACACTATTAAGGATAATTACTACAACTGTCCAGTGAAAACAAATCTTAATCCCAAAACATTAAATATCCTTTATTTCAGAAGCCACCTTGGGAAAAAGATCAGTTTTGATGGTCACTCATTTCAGAAACCCCACAGCAATTCACTAAAACCTCTCTGAATACCAAAGAGCACATCAGAGAAGAATAGATTCTTTCCCAAGCCCAGAAATATATATCACAGAACACCTCAAAACTTGCAAGTCATCATCTCAGCCAACTGACAATGCAGGGCTTCCAACAGATCCTCACAAAGGGAAATACAAAAGATGGTGGATCTCCATATTTAGAGGTTAAGACTGAGCTTGACAAAGCCTTGGCTGGAGTTGATCCTGTTTGGACTAGATGACTTCCTGAGGTCTGTTCCAACCCTCAACTATAAAACTCCTGTCTTCAGACCAAAATCTGGCTCTCCACCGCATTATGTGCAACTCCCACTCAACTCAATCAGTTTGCAGTCATTGTGAATAGAATAAGCAGCACTTAGGCTACATCTACACTGCACACTGAGAAAGTTTACAACATTAGACCACAAAAAAGTGTTCCTTTAAACTAGATCAAAAACAACAAAAATATATTTAAAAATATGCAAATTCTTTAACAGTCTCTCCCTCCGTTTGCTTTTCATGAGTTCAAGAAAAATCTTTTCAAGAGTCAAAATCTGCTAGAGAAACAAGTCTTTCACACCCCTAGTACCTGTTGTCACGTTTTTCATATTAAAGCATTCTGCAGCCCTGTTTAAACACTGTTTAACAGACTCTAGAACAGCAGCATTTAATAAAATTTGTGGATGACTTAATTTTAATAAATCTTATAGGTTTGAGGAAACATCCCCTGCCTTCTTCACTCCCCTCACCCACCAACAGCAACTTTGCCTCTAAAATGTTTTTTTAAAATGTCCCAGATTCACTTTTAAGTTTAAGCCTTTTCACAAGCAAACTACATGCCCAAAGGAGCAAGTCTGGTCTCAGTCAAAAAAGGCAGAATAGGATATATTTGGTAGCTGAGCTCTGAAGTCACTAACTAAAGCAGCCATTGTCTTTAACTTTAATTACAGAGAGCAGGATGACAGTTGCCTTTAGACACTGCACAAAGCATAGTACAGAGTTAGGTAAATACAAGAATGAACAATATTTTATTGATGCCAACTTCCCTTGAGAGATGAAGCACTTCCTGACAACTTACCCTGTTTAACCTGTGTTACTTGGCTTCTACAGCCCAACAAATTTCTCTGAAGACTCTAGGATGTTAGCATCCTTCTTACTGAAGAAATTCTGAAGAGACTGAGCAAATTAGGACAGACACTTAAAAGGCCAAGAAAGTAGGACATGTGAGGAAAGATGGGAAAAAATAACTAGGTTTGTTTAGTAAGAAGAGGAGACCAAGGTGGACATAACAGTCTTCAATTTTATAAAAGCTATTATAAAGAGAAGAGTGACAAGTGGTACTCCTTACCCAATGAGGACAGGACATGAAGAAAGGGGATTCAACTGCAGCATAAGAGATAAGATATTAGGAAAAGATTTAGGATGTTAGGAAAAACTATTTGAGTCTAAGCACTGAATAAATCACCTAGAGAGATTATGGAATTTTGCTTATTAGAGGTTTTCAAGAACAGGTTAGAAAAGTCATATGTCAAGGATAATCTAGATATTACTGAGTGTTCTGAGGTGCAGGGGACTGGACTAGATGACCTACTAAGATCCTTCCACACCTTTCCAAGATTACATCTATTCTCTACAGAACTGTAAAACTGTATTGTGGCTTAGCCTGATAGTAGTTGGGAAGCAAAAACTGAACCCAAAACATTTCAGACAAAGACACATTGAGACTACCTATCAGTTATTGGACTTGTAAGGTAGGTCTATGCTGCTATTAAAAATCCATAGCTGGCCTATGACAGCTGACTCACACTAAGGGGATGTTCAGCTGCAGTGTAAACATTCAGGCTCAGGTAGGATCCTGGGCTCTGGACCTTGCAAGCTTGAGTCAGGTGGCACAGGCCAGACACAGATATCTAATTACAATGCTAAGGTTCTTCATACTCCTCCAGCCTTATTCATTTCACCATACTTGATTCTGAATAGGTTCTCAAAGTCTTAAGAAACATTAACAGTGCACTCAGAGGAAAGATATAGGGAAGTGGTGCAAGCAACAAAAGCTTTCAGAAATACAATATGGCATATATTCTAATGAGGGAAACCTCAAAGTTTATAATGAAATCCATTCAACTATAAGCCAGCAATTATAAGGCTCCATTTCATAGGCAAAAGGTAAACCTATATACCTCCAATATGGAAACAATTTGTCAGACAGTCATGTTAACAATTGGTCACTGAAACATACTAGTTTGTGACTCTTAAGCCACATGGGGAAAGGGAAGAGAACACATTGTGATGATTAGTGTAACAAAAACAGACTTAAATCTATAATTAGTACCACATACTTTTATTGTTTTGGTTTGAAGTCTCAATCCATTCAGTGTGTTGATAGCTTTTTCAGCATCCTTGGGGTCAATGTAGTTCACAAAACCATAGCCCAAGCTCTGTCCTAGTTTAAGAGGAGAAAAAAAAAAAGAAAAGAAAAGAAACCATTACTTCTGCAGCACTACGATAAATGAACTATGGTATTTAATGTATATACTGCACAATATACACTATACACTAGAAAAGGCTACCTGACATTCCAATTATTCAGTGGCTTATTGCTATCAGTTCTGTCAGACTGTATTAATATTTATGACTGGCTCTGCCTACATTCTCATTAACTGACCTAAGTTTCGCAGTGAATCAAAATACCCAGTTCCATTAAGAATTTGAAACATTCTCTGAGAAATCTGATCAGATTGAGAGGTAGGAGGAAATGCAGAAGCTGCCATAGATGAAACACTGAGTTTTGACACATCACTAATTTTCTCCATTCAGTTATGGAACAATGATGAAACTTTCAGATAGCACTTAAAAGCTTAAATTTTTCAAATAAATTAATTAGAAAATTCCTAATTCTGAATAAAAATATTGATTTACTAAGTTATGAAAGCAATCGTTTAATATAAAGCTAAACTCTTCTTCGGATATTTACTTATAGCATATTCAAGTCTTCAAACTAGAATTGCACCACTGAAAAGACCTTTAACGTATGTTCATGCTACTCTACTACATATAATTGATAATCAGTAAAAGATATCTTCATAAAAAGATAGGGCAATTGGGTTTGGGGCATCTACAATGACTATTACACAATAGTCAATACAGCCCAGATCTTGAAGAGTGAACTGCATCTCAGTATGTAGCTGTACAGGAGGAATTACAGATTACAAAAACTTTTTGAAACTTCAAATCCTACCACTATGAACGTTAGTTGCTAGGACTGTAACAATCCTTTAATAAAGATTTTCTCCATGTGTGTACTCAAACGACTATCAACAAGCAAAACCTTAGCTAGTTTAGGATTAACAAAAACGTAGCAAACATTTTTCATCTTCAAAGAACTTTACAACCACTAATTTTCAAAGCTGTTGGAGAACTGAGTTTTATTTAGAGATGGGCATATGAGCATTAGACATCAAGATAAAAATGTTGATGTTTGGATGCCTAAAATTAGACACCTAGACTTACATGCAGACACCTAGGTGATGGTGCTGTCAAAAGGTGCTCGGTACCCACAAGTCCCACTTGCAGAGTATTAGTTAAGGGTAAGAAAATAACATTCCTCTTTAAAATCTGCAGAGATTTCGGTCTTCAGTAGCATGAACACATTGGAGATGCAAATGCTCATACATAGCACTGACCAAAGGAGTAACAACGTGTTCAATGTTTTAGAGGGTCAGCCATGTTAGTTGGGTTCAGCAAAAACAAGTTCAGTGGCACCTTAAAGGCCAACATATTTGGGCATAAGATTTGAGCCCACTCTTTCAGATAAAACAAGTTTTGGCATGAGCATTCCTGAGTGGGATCTGACAATATGGAAAGTTAGTGCCCAAAACGTTCACAGCTTCTCACAAAAATTCTAATAATTTCAATGGGACAACGAAAGTATACACACAATTTAGTGACTTTTCTTCGAAAATCTTTACGCACTCTTTTGTCCCATCTCTGAATACAGCATACAGGAGGCCCACAACTTGTGACCCCCCGCACTTACAACCCTTTTTATAAGTGCAGAAGGAGCCAGAAGCCTCCGACTTGTCCTCAGCCCGCATTCACGATGGTGCACAGCACGTATCTTAAATGAGGGTTTGAGTTATGATGCCCCCGACTTGCAATGCTTCCCCCAGAACCAATCACGTCGCAAGTCTGGGGCCTCCTGTATTTAAGCACTCCATTATGCTCCTAAACATGTAGGCCTAACAGCTGAAGATCACTGTCTGTATCAGTGAAAACTAACTTCTTACCAAAGTGTTAATCAGCATGAACCCTCATAAAAAGTCCAGCTATTGAACATGTCATTTTATTTATTCACTTACACAGAATTTTTCTAAAGCAATACTTTATGACCTCAGCAAATGCCTAGGCTAAACGTGAGATTTAATATATGTGGAATTTATAGGGGTTGAAAGGAGGGTTAAAAAGTTTAAGTAGAAAAAGCTGTTCGAGATTTTCCTCTTTTACCACATACACCAGGGTTCTCAAATTTCCAGCCTGTGAACCATCTCCAGCCAGAGCCGTTGCATAAGCCATCCTAGGAGCCCTGGGGAAAGCCTCTCCGTTCCAGTCCCAAGCCCTGCCCCTATCCTCATTGCTCTGTACTCTTGCCCCACCCGTGGCATCCCATCCACTGTGGGACACTCACAGTGGGAGACAGCCTTGGGGATTACGGGAGGTGATGGGGAAGAGATCTGGCTCAAGGCAGCAGCAGCAATTGGGCCCCTCTGCTCTCCCCATGTCAGAGAGCCATGGGGAATCAGAGCACACTCACACCACTGTGTTTCCCTTTCCTAAAGCTCCCAACAGCACGGGGAGTGCCCGACCTCAGCTGCCAAACCATATAAGGTCTCCTTGGTAATTCCTAAGGCTGTGTCCCTTGAGGGACAGATTGCCATAAGGAGAGAGGGCAGGGCAATAGTGGGAACAGGTATAGCCTGGGGGGGCAGCGAGGGGAAGAAATGGAAATAGAAAGGCCTCTCCCTGGCCCATTGGGACTCCCTAACTAGATTATGTAGTTGGCCCATGGGCTGGGAGTTTGAGACTCCCGATATACATCTACACAAAGGCTAGGTCTAGACTACATCCCTCTTTCGAAAGAGGGATGTAAGTGAGGCCAAAAGTGCAAATGAATTCCGGATTTAAATATCCTGCACTTTATTTACATATTCATGTCAGATCACTGTTTTGAAAAAGGGTATTCAACAGTGAAACCGCAGTCTAGACATTGTTCTTTTGGAAAAAAAACACCTTTTTCGAAAGAACCAGTACTCATTTTTTCCAGGAACACAGTTTAAGAAACACTGATCTAGAACAAATAAGATTTTTCTATTCAATCTTTTTAAAAGGAACACACATAATAAATTGATAATATTTGAAGAGCAAGATTGTGAAAGCCAACATATAAACATTGATGAGTTTGCATAACTACAGTCTAATTCCAAAAATAATCTTAGCCAATGTCATAACTAGGAGCTACTAAGGAGAGTCTCAATTAGCTGGAGAGTGAGGAAAGGGTTAAGCAACTCTGGGAATACACCTGAGGGAGGGGGCTTCTGGCATTCAGCCAATGAAATGCATATAGGCATCTCAAACCAAGGGAAGGTTTTTCCCCCTGTTATTCTGCTCAGAGCAGTTTTTTCAGCAGGTAACGAGGGAGTCGGGCTTTCCCAGGAATGGATTCCTTGAAATATGTAAGTAGGGAAAAGTTTAGATAGTCCATTGGGTTTTATTGTTTTCCTTATTGGGGACTTGGAAATCATGTCTGAGCTGGTTAATCGTTTTTGTCTTTTGTAACTAAGGATTACAGCCCAGGGATTCTCCCCGAGTCTAATTTCATTCCATGGCTGTTTTAACACCCAGTCAATTACTATACTTAAAACAATAGTCTTGTTTTGATAATAAAAGTGTTTTCCTTTTTATTCTGATAACTGTTATTGGTTGATTTTTGTGTCCTTAAACCAACATGCCTAAGTTACTCAGGAGGAGCACAGCCCCATTGTTCTTTGCGGATTCCCTCTGTTTTCCCAATTCTAAGCGAAACAGAGATTAGGGTAGGAGGGAGAACTTTGCCTCAAGGAGAGGATTCCCAAATGAGATCTTCCCTGGAAAAGCATTATTTTTTATTTTACTACCCTTGCGTGGTAACAGCAACCAATCGTCTTCCTTTTGGGTCTCAGGGAAACAGACCAGACAAGTTTCTCTGGGAGTTAGAGACAGGTTCTTAAGAGTTTATTCTACTAGCTGGCCCCCATATCTACACTCAAAGTGCGAGGTTGGGGAACTGAGCTGTGATAAAGAGGAGTGCTTGCTACCCCCACTCCAGCCCTGTGGTTTAAATGTAGTAAGAACCAGTGTGCAGGCACCCCAGCTCTTACCTCATTTAAACTACAGAGCTGTAGCAAGGTTAGTTCCTGGGGGCAGCACGAGCCAGGACTCAGCAATCTCGACCTGCACCAGTTCCAGGATCACTACACCTCTGCTTTTTGAATGTAGTAAGAGCTGCCTGGCTCTTACTAC